TTTCTTAACCTCATTTCCCACCTTATCCATCTTTACGTGACGCTATTTCATAATGCAGGTGACTCTGTTCACAAGAGGAAAAGCACCCATTGCCCAACAGTTGCCCGTGAATCAGACCAGGATTTTGCTGATTTTTCTTCTAAGGTTTCTGTAGTTGTTACATGTATATGGAAAAAATACATCAACCTTGTTGGAATACCACTTTGTCTTTTTTGCTCAATTATACTCTTTGTGCTGCTGAATGAAGTGGTGTGTTCGGAGTGTAGATCTTGCACTTGAAAGGAGACAGGAAGGACTTTGAATTTGTTAAAACCAGTCTCTCCACTGAAGATTTGATGTTGTTTATGATATAAATGGTAATTGCAGTACCGGTTCCCTGAACATATGTTCTCCATATGATTGCAGTTCCTTTTCACTAGGATGTGACTAATAGAATTCTCTTTGTTTTATCTAGACTACAGATGCATAATAAGTCTTGAATTTTAATATACTCCTTTTTAAACTAAATAATACCTTTGCCATATTTTCAGGAAGAGAGGCAGATGAGGTGGCACCCATACTGGATGCATTACCAAATCTAGAACAGTAAGTTGTGGATAGTCTAATACTGATATACTATACAATTTAATAATACATGAACAGTCGCTTGATGATGCGTGTGAAGGATGCCTTATCATTTTTTACAAGTGGACAAAGTTCTAGATAGCCAGCTTTTGCTTTTTCTTAAAAGAATTTCTTTCCTAGTAAAAGTTTGAATTTCTTAAACTAGAAAATTTAAAATTTAAGAGTTTGAAAGAATGATGCAAAAGTACTGTAGAGATTGATCAGAATGGCACTTTGAAAGTTGAAAGTTTAGCTGCGATTCTAAGGATTCTTATTTTGTGTATTTTATATTTGAAGCAAACAAACAATTAACCATTTAACTTGAGGGAAGATAGTATGGGATTTGAGATAATGAAACACCTGTTTGGCAATTTAAATGGTTTTGACATGTCAAAAAACGAGATAGATAGTCTGCAGAGAAATGTCAGGATTGTAAAGTTAATGTGTTTGTGTGGCATTAAAAAAGTCAGCATATTTCCATGATTTGATGAAATAGTTTGTGATGGATTTAACTTCACCTGGCTAGAAACCTTTTGGCTGATAATTAGGAAAGTTTCCTGCATTCTATTTGGACAGAGTAATGCATTGATGTTCATTTTTTTCCTATGTTATTGGAATTCCGCTGGACATCAGGTACATTTACTGCTCTTCAGCTGGTGTCTATCTCAAATCTGATCTTTTACCACATTTCGAGGTCAGCTTGGAGACTATAACTTTGTTTTATTTGTTTGTATTTTTTATTTTTTTCTTTTCCCATGTGGTTCAGATTTTACTGCAGCATTGTAATGGTGAAACATCTAGGTATGACCTTAAGTATATATACAAACGGTTCAGATTACTAGAAGTACACGTCTTTTCAAGAAGGAGCTTGTAAAATGATATGTGATTGGGGAGCAATGATGTGTCCATCTTATGCACCATAAGGAAAAAAAAAACTGTGAATGAGTATGGACACTGCAACTGATTTCTTCTTTAAATTTTGCAACCATTCTCGATATGCTAGCTAGGTTGTCATCTTTTTGCTGAAACAATGAGAATCATCAAAGCCATAACTGGAGATAATACTAGTGTCATCTACTTGTAGCTTCTACAGCTTTTGTAGTTTGCTCATGACAAGTTTTGGTAGCTGTTATGCCAACAAAACTATAACTTTTCCTGGCTGCCTTTGCATTAGAATTTTTGGTCTTCTGACTCATAGGGTATGAGAGGAGGAAGGGGCAAGGACCCCTAAGATTTTCTCTCAAGTTATATATTTGTGCTTGAAAAAGATATATAATTTTTTAAATAGATTGACAGTCCCCCTCTCCCCCCCCCCCCCCCAAAAAAAAAAAAAGGAAAAGAATGATGAATAAATTGCATAAAACAAAGATTTTTCAAAACCCACTTTGGATTTTCAGATCTATCCTTATGAGAAACAAAGTAATAAACTTTCATTTTGTTCTTCTTGTCCATACATCTCTTTTTCGCTTGATGATTCTGACTTCTTGGCCTCTGATGATAGACTGATGCAGTTGATCCAAAGAGCAGGCACAAGGGAAAGCTTGAAACTGAAAGCTTACTGGCATCTAGGGGTGTTAATTGGACTTCCCTCAGACCAGTCTATATCTATGGGCCGTTAAACTACAACCCTGTTGAAGAATGGTTCTTTCACCGGTTGAAAGCAGGTCGCCCTATTCCAATTCCCAACTCAGGGATGCAAATTAGCCAGATGGGCCATGTGAAAGTAAGTGAAATCATAATCCAAAAAGCTGCTGTTATTGGGAAAGGAAATTGAAGGAAGCAGTGACTTCATTACTCTAACTATTTTAGGGTTCTGGCATTTCTTTCATTTAATTGCAATACTGTCTACTAGCAATATCAGTCATGGCATTATCTTATGGAAAAATAGATATAGCATTTTTGTTGCTGACATATTGTACTAAGAATTTACTTTGAGCATGTCTAGCCTTACCTGTTGAATATGTCATAGTTTATCACTGTTATTTAATTTGCTGTAACTAGATCTTAACATAGTGATTCTGGAAAAAAAAAATTTCCAGGATTTTGGCACGGGCTTTTATTCAAGTTCTTGGTAACAACAAAGCCAGCAAGCAAGTGTTCAACATCTCTGGAGAGAAATATGTCACATTTGATGGATTAGCAAGGGCGTGTGCAAAGGTAGTTCTTTTATTTTCCTTTAGGAGTTGATAGATTGCTATTTATTGGAAGATTAAACATCATCAATTATGTCCCACAGGCTGCTGGATTCCCCGAGCCTGAGATTATTCACTACAACCCGAAGGAGTTCGATTTTGTAAAAAGAAGGCATTTCCCTTTCGTGACCAGGTAAACCAGATGCATGAATTTAAAATGCAATGATTGGCTGGCTTGCTCAGATATAAGAAATCTTCATCTATGGAATGATATCTCTCTGCTCAAAGCATACTAGCAATTTATGGGATAGAGTTTCATTTAAAAGCTGTAAGATTTCCCAAATCAACTCATTCCTATCACAAAATTGCCTTATTGGTTAGTTTTTCCAAGAAAGTCTTTTTAAAATCCATCAATCTCTATGTTCTGTATCAACATTTGTCCTGCTTATAGAAAGGTTCATATCTATTTGGATTTGTTTTCAAAAATAGTTTTCCATTTTAGAAAAAGAAAACCCATTTGGCTAATTTTGAAATAATTTTCAGAGGACGGTGTTTTCAGAATTTTCAGAAACAATTTTTGTTCAAAAACAAAAATAATATTTAAACAATAGAGAGTTTCAAGATTCAGCTTTTCCTATTTCCTGTTAAAGTAGGAAATAAAAAAACCTGAGAATAGAGATGAAACAACAGAATGCAATTCCAAACAGACCTCATCTTTTGAAGTTAAGTTTCATAGAAAAACCTCAAATCTCTGGTGTCTGAAGTCTCGTTTTCGCGAATGAGATAAAGTAAGTTCAATGTAAATCCGTTTTTATGGATTTGAGATAAATTCATGTTTAATGAATTGAGTCTTGAACTTAGTCGCACTTTCTGCGACATTATTGACATCTTTCTAAAAATTTTGCAGGCATTACTTTGCATCTGTTGAAAAGGCAAAAGCCGTGCTTAGGTTTAGACCAGAATTTGACCTGGTGAAGGTCTTGCAGACTCCTACAACTTAGATTTTGCAGGGGAACATACAGAAAACCGGCTGATTCTCGACGGATGACATGATTCTGGGCAAGAGCCTTGTCCTTCAGAGCTAGACCCATCATTTATTTGTTTTCCTGTGTTCATCCATCTCAATTTCGTTAGGTTTTTGCTTTTTGAGGAACTAATTGAAGAAATAAAAATCACAAAATTTATTCCACTTCCTGTTCCTTAGAAATAGAAATAATCTCTTGGAGAAAAGTATACTTAGTTTCGGTGAAAAGTGGCAGGATTTCTCTACTACTATTTGAAAATTTCTAAAGGAAATGTTAAAAAATTTATACTTAATTCTATTATTACCAAAACACTGAGCTGCAGAGTTCACAATTAAACATGCCATTCTCTTCCCATGTCATGACAACTAGGCCTCAAAACGAGCTGAGCAAATTACTGGTTCATTCTTGGCTTTAGAATTTACTTGTTAACCTCTAATGAGCTTGGGCGTGTGCTCGAGCCCAATTTAGTTTTAGCTGGGATGGGCTTGACTATGGTTAACTTTAGAATTGTTAATGAAATAAATTTTAATTTGAATTAGATCTGATTATTTATAATTTTTAATTAATAAAAAATTTGATCGACATAATTTGATTAAAAAATTTGTAATCTAAAATAAATTGAGCGAATATAAATCTCATCTGATTTAATTCATTAAATATTGGAATCCGATTTTAATATATATATATAATATAATATGTTATATATGGATATTATATATGTATATATACACACACAATATGTACATGAATTTTAGAAAGAGTAAATAAGGTGCATCATAATTTAGTTTATAAAATTAAACAAATTTTTGTTAGACAAAATGTTTTAAATAGAAATAAATAATTTATATAATTTACTAGTATATTAATTACATGCTTCATTTATTAGATATTTCTTTTCTTTTTTTTCACCATAAACCTTTGTGTGGATAAATGACATAATATTTAATATAATTTTTTATATTAAATTTGCTTCAAAATTTACTTTTTTTTAGTTATACAAAAGTCTTGGTTAATGTAAAAAAAAGAATTCTAAAATAGCATTACACTTTTTTTATCATATGTTATGAAAATAACCACTAAAATAATGAGAATTTTCAAATATAATATTTTTATTTCATATAAAATTGAATTTTAGAGAAAAGAAAAAATTTATTAGTTTCTAAAATATTGCACAAAATAACTCTTGCGTGGTTTAAGGAGAAAGGATATTATCAGTTAAAGCACTTCTAAATGAAAGTTTGGGGTGGATTAAAATGTAATTATATTGTATTAAATAATTTTAAACTTAAATATTATTTATTAGTTTATTATATTTTTTAAAGTATTTCTTGTTTTAATTTTAAAAATTTCTTTAATCAAATTTAGATTATTTTTTCGGATATCAGATTTTTTTCAGATTCGAATATGGTAATGCTTATTACAGATCCAATCAGATATCGAGTCGAATTCAGATATAATATATTGTTATCAGACTCGGATCCGATCTATCATCATCAGATTCGAATTTGACTATTTATAGCCTTAATTAACTTCATTGAATTTATTTATCATATTTGCACAGAAAATAAGTTTTTTACATACGATTTTTTTCCAAAAAAAAATAAATAATTATCAAATTTAATTATACTAAAATTCTTAAATTTCTATGAGTGCTATGAGATCAATTTATAAATAAAAATTATTTCCATAGTTATCCTAGCCATTTATATTAAATTGCAAGTTCATTTTGTAATATTGACTTGTAATACACTTGTTAAATTTATGAATATTGGTTAATTTTTTTTTTAATATTTATCACCTCATGAAACTGTGATTTATTAGGTCACATATATTTTTATTTGAATAGGAGATTATTTTCAAAATTACTTATATGAATATAATTTATTTGATTACTTAAAATTTTCAAATCATGAAAGTGATTTAATTAATTTTTAAATTTTTAAAAAATTTAAAAAACTGTCTCGTGTAGAACAGGGGAAGCAAACTAGTCTTAGTGTATAATTAGAGTCATTAGTCCACTTTTAGAAAAATATTATGGTGAAAAAAATTAAACCAGAGAATATTTACCGAATATTCCTTTGCAAGAAATGTTGATATTCATCGGTCAAAATATACACAGCAACGAAGATGGATAGTCATCAGTCGAACGCAGAGAGTTAATAGAAAATCGTATTTGAGTAGGTCGGCCGGAAATCGGCTTAAAAGTCCGACTATTATACTCCATTATCTCCTTATCCAAATCTTTTTCTAAACCTGTTGAAGACGCAACCCAACCATATCCGGCGACAAAAGCCACGGCGGACAAAAAAGCCGTTGCTTCCAGAAAGCTTCCTACCCACGTGGCTGCCCTTATTGCATATATCGTTCGTGGGCGGTGAGTGTAGGGCCTCTGGTGCAGGTCGAGTGGACCTCCAGCTCATTTTCATGTGGGCCTCACTCGACCGTTCAACTTCGAAGAATTTTCCACACAGTACTAACCGACGCCTGTGGAAGCGCATGTTAGGGTGAGCGGGCACGTGGCTGCACGGATGGACGACTTTCTCGTGGAGGGCTTACACGTTATGGTTGTCGTTATTGGTCGCGGTCGGTGACGGTTGGAGAGGAAACCGCTTATGTTTGAATTCCAATATTAATTCACGTATGCAGGATCAGGTACAGCACATCCAATAGCATGGTAAGTAAGAGTTGAATATGGACCTTCCGATTCTGATTAGTGAAGAAAAACGACACGTGCTTAGATCTCCAGATTCTGAAAAACAGATGAACGTGTTATCATTCACGGATGATAATCCCTCTTTGCTCCCGAGCTGCTGAACTTATCTGGATGTTGCTCATTTTACAGCCGTACCTGCAGACCAAATGTGAATTTAGGGAGACTGAAGGGTGATTTTGTGACAGAGACCGGACTCTTTTCGACGCGCATCCATTTTGAAATAAACTACTTATCCATTTCTAATTTTACTTTTTATTTAACTACCTTGTTTACGCACACCGACTCCCGTTTTTTCCATTTGAAAGGTAGTAGAGCCGTTAGATTCAATTTCCCGGAAGACACGCGGACACATGTACAGTCCGATGTTCACATTATCTGATAATCCGAAGATCCGGGAATCACTGTACACTGAACCTCAAACCGTTCTCTCTAAAAAATCATTAAACACCGTCGTTTAATGCGACAATCCTGTCGCTTATAACCACACCCTATCAAGGCATTCTAAACCCCGCCCCCTCTCCCAAAACGATTATATAAACCCCATACCCCTGACTTTCAGAAATCACCAAACATCCTCGGATTAACAGTTGCTGTCAGAATACTTCAGACTTCCAAACACAATCTTCAGTTCTTTTCTCTCTCTAGACGACAAAAAAAAGTTAATGTTATGAGTGCTGCCACCAACGCTGCCGGCCTGGCAAAGGCGGCGAGTCTGAGGAGCCGGGCCTTCGTCACGTTCCTTGCCGGCAATGGAGACTACGTGAAGGGCGTAATAGGCTTGGCCAAGGGCCTCAGGAAGGTTAAGACGGCTTACCCGCTCGTGGTGGCTGTCCTGCCGGACGTTCCGGAGGAGCACCGCCGCATGCTGTGGCACAGGGCTGCATAGTCCGGGAGATCGAGCCAGTGTACCCCCCGGAGAACCAGACCCAGTTCGCCATGGCTTACTATGTCATCAACTACTCCAAGCTCCGCATCTGGGAGGTAAGCGTATGATTCCACTCTATGACTTCAGACCGTGTACTGCGATCAATATTCTTCCGACAACGTAAAATTAATATTGTCATCGTTTTTCCCTTTTTCTAAACTACAGTTTGTGGAGTTACCACAAGATGATATACCTGGACGGAGACATTCAGGTTTTCGGGAACATTGACCACCTCTTTGATCTGCCTGACGGCTACTTCTACGCCGTCCAAAGACTGTTTCTGTGAGAAGACATGGTCCGACACTCCCCAGTACAAGATCGGATACTGTCAGCAGTGTCCGGAGAAGGTCAGTGGCCGGCAGAGATGGGTCCGAAGCCGGCGCTGTACTTCAATGCCGGCATGTTCGTGTACGAGCCAAGCCTCTCCGTTTATGACGATCTTCTCAGCACCGTGAAAGTCACAACTCCAACATCTTTCGCCGAGCAGGTACGGGACCCATTTTGGTCATTTCAACAACCTTTACTTTGGTTTGTTCGGCCGAGTAAATACAAATCACTGCGTGCTAATGGTTGTACGTGCAGGACTTCTTGAACATGTTCTTCAGAGATATTTACAAGCCTATCCCTTCGGCGTACAACCTTGTCTTGGCCATGCTGTGGCGCCATCCCGAGAACATCGAGCTGGAGAAAGTGAAGTTGTTCATTACTGTGCTGCGGTGAGCGACGTTACAAAGTCATCACAAACCCACCCTTAATTGAAGACTATTCTAAAATATTTTAATCGTTTGACTCTTTAGAATTTTGAAAATATTCTCTTGTTATTCCAAGAGTAGTTTTTTAAAGGAATATTCTGAAAAATATTTTTTTAAATAATATTAAATATATATAAAGTGCAATATACCACATGTTAATTTAACACTACATAAATTTACTAACCCAAATTGCACCCTAAACAAACCCAAGTTATATGGAATGCTAACTGGGCAAATTTGTAAATTCATTGGTGATTCAGGGGTCAAAGCCATGGAGGTACACAGGGAAAGAAGAGCACATGGACAGGGAGACATAAAAATGCTAGTGAAAAAAATGGTGGGATATTTACAACGATGCTCGTTGGATTACAGGAGGAGAACCAAAAGCGAAACTAAGAGGCTAAATGCGATGCTGTCGAAGCACGGTGCTGGGAAGTACGTTACGGCGCCATCGCGGCCTAGGCTGGCAATATGCAACTTAGTTGCTTAATCGAAGTATTTTTGGACTTGTACTTTTTAACTTTACACATAGATTGATTATTTTTCAACTTATTAGAATTGAAGAGGCTGGCTTGGCTATTCGAGGAGCCCCTCTTGGAGTGGAAGATTGTTAATTGCTTGTGACTTTTCTGTAATTTGCAACACATTGGGTGTGTGAATGTAAATCAATATATATAGATATATAATAGAGAAGTTTTTTTTTTCTACTGTTTATAAATGTGGGGATATTCTTTTTCTTCCCAGTAATTTATTTTTGGAATCTTACATATTGATTCAGCAAACTATTGTATGATGCTGCAGTAGAGAAAAATTCCTTTTTGGTGGCTTGAGGTTCAAACCCAGAAAAGCAATTGAGGGCACAAACCCAGAAAAGCACTTAGTACATTTTTTTTTAAAAATTGTATTTATGAACCGTATGTCGAAATAATTGTTCGCCATGTTACAATATAATTAATTAGAATATTCTAACGAAATATTCTAACAGAATCATTAATCAATTGCTTAAAATGAAAAATACATTTTTAGAATAAGAATAGAATTATACAAATTTATATTCATAATTATACAAATTCATACTTGTTAATACACACATGATTGTAGAGTTATTATAGGAGTTATACCTATACATATATATATTGGTAATTTCACATACTTGTATATGTAAATAATAGATACATGCTTATAAAGATACAAATTCATGTTTGTAATAGTTATTACAAGTACATAAGTTAAGTTATTTAAAAAATGTAAATAATATTCACTAGATAACTTTTTTCTTTCTTCCTTTGAATTGATGTATTTTAAGATTTGACCCTTTAAGTGATTAGTTTCATTAAGCTATCTGGCTTGGTGCATTTGCCAATATTATTTACCCTTTGCTCAAATTTACTTTTTGAACTTTAATAATCTTGAGCTTGAGCCCAGTCTAGTTTTATCTGAGGTGAGCTTGACCACCGTTAGCCCCATTGATTTATTTATCATATTTGCATGAAATAAACCTTTTATATTTGAAAGTTATTTTTTTAAAAAATACAAATTATAATTATACTAAAAATATGCTAGTCATGTAAATTTATTCTTAAATTTCTACATAGAACAACTTATAATTGCTATACGATCAATTTATAAATAAACATTATTTATTAGTTATGTTTACTTTATAAATAAGTATTCTAAGTGTTTATAATAATTTGCAAGATGATTTTTGTAATATTAACTCTAATAAAATTGTTAATCCTATTATTTTTGAAAAAATATTAAACTAAAGCATATTATTGAATATTCTTTGGCAAAAAAAGTGAGTAGTATGCTTATATTTGATATTACACCTTAGTCACTAATTTAATAAATTTAATAATTAATAAATTTATTATTAAATACCGATTATAATATTCATTTAATAAATATTTCAAAATAATCAAGAGTCAAAAGAAATACACACAATCAACGGAAAATCGTATTTTAGGTCGGCCGACAATCGCGTTGAAGTCCGACCATTATCTTATGTTATCTCGTTGTCCAAATCCTTGCTAAACCCATTGAAGACGCAATCCAACTCTTCCGGCGACAGCTGCTCCACAAAACAAAGAAACCGTTGTTTTCGGAAAGCATCTTCACCACGTGGCGCAATCCTGCCCTTGCGATGTTTGCATGGATTGCTCGTGGGCGGTGAGTGTAGGGCCTCTACCACAACTTATATTTAATGTTGTCCCCACTGGCCGTTCAACTCACTGGGAAATTCCACATAATACTAACCGACGGCTGTGCAAGCACCACGTTGAATTGGACGGGGCACGTGGCAGCACGGATGACGACTTTCTTGTGGAGGGCTTACACGTTATGGGTTTATCGTTATCGGTCGAAGTCGGTGACGGTTGGAGTCCGCTTTACGTTTGAATTACAAGATTAATTCACACTGGTGCAGGATCAGGTACAGCACATTGTATAGTATGGTAAATAAGAGTTGAATATGGACCTTTCGATTCTCGTGGGTGTGAAAAATGACACGTGCGTGATATCCCAGATTACAAATAACAAACGAACCCTGTTATCCCTCACAGATGATAATCACTCTCTGCTCTCGAGCTGCTGGACTTATCTCTATGGTGTTCATATTACAGTTGCACCTGTCGAACCAAATGTAAATTTAAGGAGACCAAAAGGTGATTTTGTGATAAAGACAAGGACTCTTTTTCGGGGATACGCGCATCGTTTTGAAAACAAAGCTACTTTTACTTTATACATTTTGTAATTGTAAATTTAAAAATTACCTTCTACATACTTAACACCGACTTCAGTTTTTTATATTCATAAAGTTGCAGAGCCGTTAGATTCAATTTCCACGAGAGACGCTGACACACGTACAGTCCCATGTTCTCAGTAGCTAATAATCCGTAAGATTGCGGAATCACTGTACACTGTTCGTATCAACCTGTCCCGGAACCACGTAGCGTTGTTTCGCTAAAAACATCTTAAAATACCGCCGTTTAATGAGACAACCTGTCGCAATCACCACACCCTGCCAACGCAACCACAACCTAACCCCCCCCCCCCCCCCCCCCCCCCCGGGGAGCGACTATAAATACCCCAGATCCCCTGACCTTCTGAAATCACCAGACATCCTGTGATTAACAGAAATTGTCAGAATACATCAAACATCCGAACACAATCTTCAGTTCGTTTCTCTCTCTAGACGACAAAATGGATATTGTGATGAGTGCTGCCACCAATGCCGCCGGACTGGCGAAGGCGGCGAGCCTGAACAGCCGGGCGTTCGTGACGTTCCTTGCCGGCAATGGAGACTACGTGAAGGGCGTGATAGGCTTGGCCAAGGGACTCAGGAAAGTTAGGACGGCTTACCCGCTCGTGGTGGCGGTCTTGCCGGACGTTCCGGAGGAGCATCGTCGTATGCTGGTGGCGCAGGGCTGCATAATCCGGGAGATCGAGCCAGTGTACCCCCCGAGAACCAGACCCAGTTCGCCATGGCTTACTACGTCATCAACTACTCCAAGCTCCGCATCTGGGAGGTAAGCATATGATTCCGCTCTTTCACTCCATATACTGGACTATACGAACATATTCTTCCATCAAGTTTAAATTAATATTGTCATCATTTTTCACTTCCCTTTTTATTTAAACTACAGTTTGTGGAGTACCACAAGATGATATACCTGGATGGAGACATTCAGGTGTACGGGAACATTGACCACCTCTTTGACTTGCCGGACGGTTACTTCTACGCCGTCAAAGACTGTTTTTTGTGAGAAGACATGGTCCGACACTCCCCAGTACAAGATCGGGTATTGCCAACAGTGTCCGGAGAAGGTCCAGTGGCCGGCAGAGATGGGTCCGAAGCCGGCGCTGTATTTCAATGCCGGCATGTTCGTGTACGAGCCAAGCCTCTCCGTTTATGACGATCTTCTCAACACCCTCAAAGTCACCACTCCCACCTCTTTTGCCGAGCAGGTACGGGATCCATTATGGTCATTTCAGCAAACCTTCACCTTTTGTTCGGTCGAGTAAATACAAATCACGGTGCTGTTGGTTTTACCTGCAGGACTTTTTGAATATGTTCTTTAGAGATATTTACAAGCCTATCGCTTCGGTGTACAACCTTGTCTTGGCCATGCTGTGGCGGCATCCCGAGAACATCGAGGTGGAGAAAGTGAAGGTTGTCCACTACTGTGCTGCGGTGAGTGATGTTACAAACCCTTCACAAATGCACCCTTGATTTTCCTCCATTAATTAGGCCCGTTTGGATTTTCTAAATTTTTTTAATCATTTTGAATCTTTAGAATTTTGAAAACATCCTCCAGGAGTTTTTTTTAATAATTATTAATGAAATATTTTATTTATTAAAGTGATAATAATTTGTAAAAATAATATTAAATTTCAGAAATGCAATATAAATTAACACATGTTAAGTTAACACTATATAAATTTACTAATGAAAAAAATGAGAAAGGACTTGTTAGTAATCCATTTTTCATGAATTCAATGTAATTGATTTTATTTTTCTTATAAGTGGGTTTTTAATATTAAAATAGAATAGGTGGTACACGAATGCAACTTGCACCCAAGTTACTTGTGGCATTCTAATTGGGCAAATTTGTAAATTCATTGGTGATTCAGGGGTCAAAGCCATGGAGATATACAGGGAAAGAAGAGCACATGGAGAGGGAAGACATAAAAATGCTAGTGAAGAAATGGTGGGATATTTACAACGATGTCTCTCTGGATTATAGGAGAACCGAAAGCGAAGCTGATAGGCTCATGGCCGCGCTGTCGAAGGCCGGTGCGGTGAAGTACGTTACAGCGCCATCAGCTGCCTAGGCTGGCCATGCGCAAATTTAGCTGCTGAATTAATGTAACTTTCGTTGTGTAGTTTTTCAAACTTTAGACATAGGTTAATTATTTTTCAACTTAGAATTGAAGAGGATGGCCTCAGCTTTTTAGAGGTGGACTCTCTTGGAGTGAAAGATTGTTCAAGTAAGGAGATTTACAATTGCTTGTGACATTTATGTGATTTGTAACATGTTGGGTATGTGAATATAAATTAAAATATATATTTAACGGAGAGGTTATTTTGTATAGTGCTTATAAATGTAGGTTTTTGGTTTCCTTCGTGGTAATTTATTTTCGGAATCTTACAAATTGGTTCATCAAACTATTGCATAGCCTTCCATTATTTCTTATGCAATTTTGTGTACACCAAAAAAATGAAAAAGAAGAAAAGAAAATTCTGTACTATTGGGCTTCAAACCCAGAGAAGCAATTGAGGGTTCAAAACCCGACCAGCACTTGAGCAATTAAAAAAAAAAATGCAACTTAGAAAGTTATTAAAAAAAAAATGCAACTTAGAAAGTTCTTCCAATTAATAAATTAATTACGGGGCAGTTTTACTAATTATTGTGTCTCACCCAAAATAAGAAGCATAAACAATAATTACAATATTTTGCTAATTCCAAGTTTGAGGTTAATTGACCAAAATATCCGCAAAGTATTCGACAATTCCCCGATCACCTGCATTCTTCATGCATAGTTAGCAATTGAACATTGAAAACAGTTGGTCAAAGTAAAATGACAAGTGTCTCACCTTCTCACCTTCCAGCTAATGCTGTAAAAGGTAAAGATTAAACTTTGCAAGATCAATAATCAGGTCCACAAGTTACCAAATTCCGCGTATTACAAATTTGATCACGTCAATTTCACCAGACTCTTCCTTTTCTGCTTTCAATTTGAGTAGAACTATTGACAAATCTTGGACGCAAGGTGGTTGGAATTTATATATCAAGCTTTTTTCTTATCTTTTGGCTATTGCTTTGTTGGCTACTGAAGTTGGGTGCATAATAGGATTGGTCAAATGATCAAAACCCAATTCATTAATAGTCCTGAATTGTTTTGAGTCTTCTTGGTAGAATTGCATTCGTAAACTCTAAGTCATATTCATTTGTAGGATTCATAAGAGAATTCAATCACCAAAACATATCAAATACCCAAGTTAGCAAATTTGGCTGATGAGAGTGTGATTGAGATCTACTGAATCGGTATCAAAAAATGATGCCGATCTATAATATTAAATTTAACGACTCAGAGCATGAGTACTTAATATTAAATGTAAGCAAAGAGACGGGGTTTCTTGTCTGAACTTAATTCTCATAAAGAATTCGCAATAATGAGAAATACATAATTCTTATCGTTTCATTTCAAATTTAACAAATTTTGTTAATAATATTTTTTAATATTTTAATTAAAGAAGATAATGTTTAACTATTTTTTATATAAATACGTATTTTTATTATAATAATAAAAAATAGCTTAAATATATTCGACTCAACGTGATTATCAACTGTAAATTATAAATTTATAAATTCAATTTCGGACTGGAGTTGAATTTATAAAACTACGCCGAATCAAATTCACACCAAGACGAACTTGACTAAATGTAAGCCCGACTTAGACCGGTTGTTATTCGTATTCGATTATGCTGTCGGCCTGGATTGGAGGTTAGAAGTCGACTTTTATCCATGTTATCTCCTTGTCCAAGCCCTGTCTCGCAAGTTTCCTACTTACTACGCTGTTAATGTCGCAACGCAAAAATATTAAACAAAAAAGCAAAAGAAAAGTAGAAAGTGAAAAGTGAAAAGAGAAGGCAACCAGCTTCCAGGAAGCTAACTGCCACGCGGCGTAACATTGGCCTCAGATACTTGGTTGGAATTGTTCGTGGACGGTGGGTGTGGGGCCTCTACATCCAGGTGAAGGCCACCGGGCTCTAAGCGTTGGGTTTGAGGTGACCCAACCTCGTATTTTGTGGACCCCACTCGATCGTTCAACTCTATGAAAATTTCCAAACAATACTGGCCGACGCCTGTGGGAGAGCCGCGCAGGGCATAGAGGAGAGGTAACCGCACGTATGACGACTTTCTCTGTGGAGTGCTCACATTGGGTGGTCACTGTACACTGATCGTACCTAGCTCCCAGAAACCTTAAAGCGTTGTCTCCCTATCGCCGTCATCACACTCTGCCAAAGCATTCTAAATTTCCTACTTTTTTCACGATGTTCCAAATCCAACTCGCCTTTCTTATTATTAGTGAGTGAACAATTTAATACCAGGTGAATTCTACTTCATAATAATAAAAAGAGCCGACATCAAAAGATCAAAAAATAACGTCGTTACGAACATTTGATTGTCACAAACCAATTATCCTTGTAATAATTTTTTCTAATACTTTTAGCTTCAAATTTTAAAGGTCTAAAGAATCATTAAACCATGCTTTCATGATTCGTATTCATACTGGAAATTAGAATTAAACGAGCTTTTACATTTTTGTTCCACACGAAATTTCTATTTTTGTTGAGCTTATCTTAAGACACATGCATTATCTTTTAACATATGTATTGCCCAAGCCAAACTCTCCACTTGACAATTTCTTCAGCTCAAATCGGCCTGTCGAGGCTGGCCTTCAGTCCAAAAGGAGGGGCAATGTCCTACTTTTGATTCACGGAATAAATAAAATAATATTAAAAGTAGTGGTATTTTACTTTCACCGTTTTTGGCTCTCACTTATCCTATACCTCTCAAGTCATTTCACAAAGTCGAACTAGAGTCAAGCTCAACAGGGTCTTCTTTTCCCACTGATTCTGCCAAGCCCGTTCCTTGGTTGTGGTTTCGTTGGATAGTAGACAGGGACAATGGGAATCTCATTAATCCATTCTTGCACGTCATTAATTAGATGACAAGGCATTTGGCTACATTAAGAGAGTCATAGTTACTCCCGTCATTTACCTGTGCTTGGTTGAATTTCTTCACTTTAGCATTCAGAGCACTAGGCAAAAATCACGTTGCGTGAGCATCCGTAGGGACCATCGCAATGCTTTGTTTTAATTAAACAGTCAGATTACCCTTGTCCGTACCAATTTTGAGTCGACTATTCGACGCCCAGGGAAGGCCTTGTGAGGAGTTGTTCCTAGTCCAACCCCCGGCCTACACGCGGCAACCCGCTCTCACCACGATAGCAGCTTAAGTAGTCCACCGATAGTTGTTAGGTTCGGGAGTAGGACCCCTGTGCTCAGCTTTAGAGCTAATCTTTTTCACGAAGTTACAAATCCATTTTACCAACTTCCCTTACCTACATTGATCCATTGACCAGAGCTATTCACCTTGGAGACCTAATGTAGTTATGAGTATGATTGGGCATGGGAGGCCTGTGAAGCCTGTGGTGGGGGGGGGGGGCAGTGGCAGTGGCAATGGCGAATGATGGTGGGCAGCAACAGGCAGAGGTGGCGGGTGGCAACAAGTGGTAGGCAGCAGGCAATGAATAGTAAGAGGCGATGGTGAGTGGTAGTAGACAACGGCAGTAGCAGTGGTCATGGGCAGTAGTAGGCGAAGGTGGCGGGTGGTAGGCGGCGCTGATGACGACAAGTGGTGGTAGGGGTGGTAGTGGAGGCCGTGGACAATGGTGGTGATAGCAGTGGGGGATTGCCTACAAATACTAGGGGGAATATCATTCAAATAGGTTAAATAGGAGTTAGATAAATTATCTTATTTCTCCATTCATATAGTTTATTTACATTTAACAGAATAAATACTCTACCCTAACTTTTTATTTAATTTCGTTAATTAGTCTATCAAATATTAGATAAAATTAAATAAGAGTAGATAATTTATTTTTATCCAATCTACCAAAATAATCTCTTAACACGGGGGTTGTTTTATACAATATTTATAAATGTCGGGATATTTTTTTTTCTACATACTACTTTATTTTTGGAATCTTACACACTGCTCATCAAATTATTGTACGATGGTGCCGTAGCCTTCTACTCTTTAGTATGCAATTTGATTATGCACCAAAAAACAAAAACAAAATGGATTTTATTTTTGATAGGCGCTTGACCAATTTGTCTAATCGGACTTGGTTATGGCGCCAAAAAAAATAAAAAAAAAAGAAAGAAAGTGCAACCTAGAAAGTTCTTCCAATTAATTCATTAATTTTCAGGTAATTTTCATAATTATTCTGTCTCATCTAAAGCATGAACATGAATTAAAAGATTTGCTAATTCCAAGTTTCATGTCAATTTCCCAAAACATCCACGAAGTACTCCCACAATTCCCCCACTACCTGCATTCTTCAGGCAGAATTAACCATTGAACACTGAAAGGAAATGGTTAAATTAAAATGATTAGTGTCTCACGCTCTTACCTTCTAACTAACCCCATGAAAGGTAAAAATTAAACTTGTCAAGATCGACAATCAGGGCTACAGGTTACCAATTTCAGCAGCGTAAAATTTTGACTTCATGCCACTTTCACTCAGAGGAAGAGGTGTTCATAGTTCGGTTTTGTTCGATTTGATATTGAAATTTAAACTAAACTATATTTTACGGTTTGTAATTTTTATAAATCAAACCGATCCATGGTTTACAGTTTGGTTCGATTTCAAGCTATAGTTTGTGATTTACAAAATAAAATAAAATAAATTTACTATTTTTAACAAAATATTTCTAAAAATTAGTCATCCATTTTTTTCCCAACATGTTTAACTTAATAAATTAATTAATTAATTATTAATTATAGTAGTTATATATTTTATAATAAATATAATTATATTATTTTACAGAATTTCATTATTACTAATATAAATTACATTCTAAAAAATAAAAATAATCAATTATTAGAATAAATATAAATATAAAAGATAACAAAAAAAAGAAATATATAGTCAAACAATAAAAATATACTATATATATAAAGATAGAATTTTTAGTTTTGTATATATATAAACTATACGGTTTTGTTTGGTTTATACGATTTGTCTAAAACATCAAATTC